GGTCGACGTTTTGAACAAACGGGTGCAAGAATAAATGTACTTATTAATGGACCTACGTGTGAGCGAAATACGACTCGAGGTCATATGACTATTGCATGGAAGTTTAAAATCTAGCTTCACAAATTTGGGATAAAGTACACTAAGATAAAACGATGAGGATGCAGTGGAAATGTGCGAAAAGAGTATTCATTCTTGGGTACAAAATTGCTTGAGCTTACAACAGCCAATGCTCAGTCAGTGTAGTTTAGTAGTAGCGCCCACCCTGATGTATGGCTTTGATCGGAGGGTAGTGATCATAGTACTACTGATTTGCACGATGGATTCATTATTAAGGAGATGAATACTAATGATGGTTATATGATGCTGTTTGAAGTCCGAATCGTGGAAACGATAAGCATGCAGGCCGAACATTCAGATGAATTCAAATTACATCGGGAATGTTAATTTGATATGGAAGGGAATGTTTCCCGGAGTCTAGTGTTGAGATGAGCAGGGTCTGTGGCCCGCAACAAGCTCGCAAAGATGAGTTGTACTAATATCGTGCAGATGGAAGATGAAAAATGACCTGATCAGTTGCCCAGTGTCCACGAGGTCTCGCGTTCGCGATCCCTAGTTGGGTCGATGGATTCGCACGGGGGATGTGACCCAACCAGGTCGAAACAGCTATCCAGTGTTTCCTAACTTTTCATTTCACGCTTCATTTCCTATATGCACAACGAATTCCCCCCCCCCATGAAGTGAATCAAATCCTTCATTACGCGCATGAGATTTGACAATAGTCCGGATTTATGCACGTAAAGTACTGTGCAAATTGCAGAGGGTTAGGTGAAACGACAATTTTTGATTGTAGTCTGGCGGGAACGGTTCTCGCTGTCACTTTGGTCACAACGTATGCTAAGTTCATCGGATAGAAGCGCTTTGTGTCTAGTGTTCACGGGAGCAATAGTGATAGGCTTGCAGGGGTCAAGGAGTGATTCACAATAAACGTCTCTTCAGTTAATGGCCCAGCTCGATATTTCAAAAATACAGAACTAATCCCATCTAGGCCTGAAACAGTGGATACTTAGAGTTGCCTCTGATTCTGAATGACTTCATAATTAACATGCTCGAATAGAATAGTTGCTCATGGCCACCAAGATGTCGTACGTGATGTCCGTTTGAAAGATTATCTGTTCCAACCAATTATCAATTGTCAATTATCCCACATCATTACTCCCACTTAACTGTGAGTTGAACGAGTATTTATTAGAAGCGTATCAAAATAGAAATGATCTTTAAATAATTCATAGCATATCATGTGACAAGTAGAGCTGAGCACATTCTACCGAGTTTCTGTCAAACGAACATTCGGTGTAGCGAGATTACTTTTATTACCACTGCGAATCCGGGCATCACAGTTTGCCTTGTATTCGCTCAATCTTGGGATCACAAGTGAATAATCTAATTTCTGGTAGTTCGTAAATGAGTCATTTGGAATGAACAATGAAACTTTCTCTGCTACCCTCAAGTATCGATATTAGGCACCTAGTAGCCATGCTCTCCACTTACAAAATACTCAGGTGATGGCAGGATACCGGTGGTTAAACCCTAGTTGAAATGGATCACAATAAACTGTCGCTCACCAGTGTCAGATACCAGACTTTGCCCACTCATACAACGGCTCCCATCTGGACACGGTGATCAATTTATCGACTCACAGTGTTGCGAATCACACTCGCTCTCTCTCTATTTCTGCTGATCCAGGTCAATCCCCTTCCGGATGTTTGTTCATTCTGGTTCAAAACTCACTATAGATTAATGCTCACGGTTTGGACAGGAATTGGCAGTAACCAATTCTCACCCGCTAATCAATATTAGCTGCATCCTTGCTCGATAACTCACTCAAAATTACTTTGTTTGCTTATGGAAACATTGTTTATTTGGAAAAGGATAAGTTCTATTTAGTGATCAAATAACGAACAACAAAATCAAATATTCGAAATGAATGAATCGATTGGACACCAACGATCAGTATTATGGTTAAGTAACTTACCGGTTCCGAAGTGAAATATTATGATTCAAGAGATACTACTTACAAAACGTGCTAACTAGGAAATAGTTGGATGATGTAACCCGGGTTGCTTAAATGTCATCATCGTCCAACACAAGCGGCTAGATATATATATATATATACATATGAAAACCCCCCACTTTAAGTATTTTACTTAAGTATCAACAGCAAAGGCAATTCATTTCACTCTGCGAAATCTGTCCGTTGTGTGTCTCTGGACTAATCATCTGCTTTTGATTCTATTCCTCGTTCCCTTCTTCTTCATAAACTAGAGGCGTTCGGTTGCCCTAGACAAATATTAGCTTGGCTTATCGATTACTTCTCCGGGAGAGCTCAGTGTACCAGGTCAGGTCGGAAGAAATCCAAATCGTTGTTGAACAGCTCTGGAGTACTACAAGGTGCAGTTCTTTCCCCATACTTATTTTCTACGTATATTAGTAACTTGTCTGATTGCGCCCCTACTTCTCTCTTCAAGTATACAGACGATGTGGTCTTGTGTCAGGCCATCTCTGACTCTGCTGGTCTTTCACAGTTTTCTGACAACTTGGATAACGTCCAACAGTTTTCCGCCACATCGGGCCTATCTCTTAATCCCTCCCAAATGTTTCGAATGTCTCTTTACACTATCACGCTCTTCTTTCCCATTTGAACCGCACCGATTGGTTCTGAACCAGTATCCCGGGTAAACTGTATTAAATGCCTGGGCGTTTTTATTGATGC